TTTCTCTGAAGTATAAACGGTAGCTTTCAATTCAATTTTTCTCACAAACAAGATGCAGGATTTTCCTGGAGGCTCAGAAGAACTGTTTTAGAGCTTGATCCATATTCATGTAACTTTAATCAAGTCTACTACGAGGACAAACTGGACATACTGCATTCAAAGTGAGTGACCAAAAAGTAGTGAGGAATCAAATTCACAAACAGGAGAGCAATACAAAATGATTAACATGAACAACTTCTTTTAACTTCTGCTGTTCAATTCTTTCTTCTTACTAATCACTCGATTTCTCAAAGTTGTTCCTGCATTTATGTAATATGTAAAGAATGTAATCTAACAAAGCTGGAAGTATGTACATTTTTATTCAGGTTATGTCACAAACTACCTTTTTCAACAAGAAAACTCTACCTAATAAGCGACATAAGCAGTTGCTTAGGACCCCACAGCGGCCAGGGGGCGCCAAACAACTTCTGAATTATTACTGAACCATTATGTTGTCTAACATGCTGGTGTGAACGGAAAAAAGAGAGAGAAACGGAGAGAAAGCTTTATGGTGAAGGTGTGTTTTACTCTATTTTGTGGAGTTAATGTTATGCCATTTGTTTTGGCTTGTAGTTGGACAACAAGGCGCAGTAAATCTGGAGGGCCTATCTACTGAAGTAGGCTCAGCTTAGACAGGTTTTCTTACGAAGTGTCACCTTCACAAAACCTAACAAACACAAATGCGGTTAACTGGTTTTACAACAGCATTTAACAACTTTCTCTGATAAGCCGGATTTAGATACTCAGGCTGTGATTAAGTCTTGTGTACCAGAGTTGCACTGATATAAGCTTAAAGTTAGCTGGGAAAGAAGGAGATCCTACATCGTGAGACAGAACATTGAAAACACTGAGAGAGTAACTTAAATTGAAACTAATCAGAACCACAAACAAGCATCTACTCACCAACAATACACAAATTAGCCAGTTATAAATGTATTTAACCCTCTGGAGTCTAAGGCCATTTTTTAGATTTTTGCATATTATTATTTTTTTTATTTTCATATATTTCATATCACAATGCTTCGTTATCTTCATCGTTACTTTCCAAAATCGCTGCAGCAACTTCAGCGGCTGTAAACTTTTTGCATGCCATTCCACGTGTCTCCAGTGTCGACTGAATGAAGAATGAAGGGTTTCCGACGTGATGGGTCAGCGCTTAGTGATTCCCGTGTGTCCCTTGGTCAGTTTCAAAAGTGGATGGACACACAAATCCACACAGTGAGAGGCAGATGATGTGTACTTCAACTCTTCTTCACAGACTCATAACTCTGGATGTGAGTCACGTATAATCTCTCGATAAGATGGAATGGAAAGAGCGACTCAATAGATTCAGGAGATGTTTGAACCACATTTCTGTGCTGTATTATTGCAAATATAGAGAAACATATATAGAAACACGAACATCGAAACATCAAATCTAACCCACAGGTGTGTTTGTCAACACCAGAGGGACAGCCTGAGATAGTCATTGTCATCAATTAGCCTCTAATTTTTAAAGTACGTCAGCGAGCAAGATGGGCCCCCCAAAAAAATCCTGCTTAGGGCCCCTGATCATATCAGTCATGAATTATCATCACTCCAAACAGCAAAACAGTAATAAGCTCTTACTAATCCAAACAGCACAATCCATGAGCTAAATGGAGTAAGGGGAACGTTTTGAAAATTGACCTTGTCAGTTTAAAGTTTGCATAATTGAAAGATAAAACGATTCTCATCACTGCAAATACAGAAAGTTGACAGTTCTTCTTCATCAGTTGATAAACCAATAAGATCGGACGCGCTCCTCATACACCAAACAAAACAAATTTGCTGTCTTGTACGAATCCAAACCCATAAAGCTGACAATGAGCAGATCAGAGCAGTGTGTGTGTAGATAGAATCAGGTCCAAGAAAAACAATGAGACACAGATTGGAGAACTTTTCAGCCTAGACTGACCTGGATCACTACCTGTGCGGAGAGGAGCATGACTGATGACATGCCAAAGAAACTCCTGGCTTTTAAATGGCAGGATTTATGAACTGGTGACTAGGATACAGTCCAACCACATCAAAGACACGCCACAGGTTCTCTGCCACCCTGACCTGCACTGAGAAATTTGTGAGAGAGATGGGAATAGTCCGATTCAAGTTTCTTTCCCCAGCTGTACTCAGTGTCATCCTTCCATTCCTTTTCCATCTTCCTGGATTAGAGAAGGCATGGTTTGTAGCATGATTACGCAACGAGGATTGACCTACCCTTTATTTGAGAAAGTACCCCTTAACAATAAAAGCAATGCTAGAGAAGAGGCACTTTTGGGTTCCTAAAGATCGTTTCAAAAGTTGGTCTGTAAATAATAAAGACAATTTCAGAGTTTAAACCTTGTTAGGTTCTTTTGGGTACCCTAGTTTCAAGAGTTTAGCAATGACATAATGGCAAATTTGATGAAGTCCAGATCAACACTTTGTTTGGATGCGGTTCTGCAAAAGTGCTAGCTGTAACTAAATCATGCTTTGAGGTGCCAGATCTTAAAACTATGTCCATTTTCCAGCCTGATCATGCCGGAGTGCGAAATCTGTAGACTTTAGCACTGCCGGTTTGCTCACACCTGCTACAAACACAGCAGATAAACTATGGGGGATATAAAATAGACTACATTTTGAAGTGCACTCCAGTCCAGTCTGGCAGCCACAGCAAAGCTGATGTGAGAGTCAGCCTTTTGAGTGCTCTGCTTTTGATTGTCTGTTGCTTTGAAGGCGTCCAAGTCCCTGCAGTACTTAAGAGCCACAAGATGACCTGGGTTCAACTCCTGCTCTTCATTTATTTATTTATTTATTTATTTATTTATTTATTTTCTCTTTGACACGTTGGATTTTGACACTGCCTGTGACACATATATGTTATATATGTATATACTTCACTGCATATGAAATCATCAGGTAGGGAGTCCAACTATTTCCATTGTAGAAGACAGAAAGGGAAATTCAGGCCATGTTGTCAAAACGGCTTCTTTTATCATCATATAATCTGTTGTTGTTGACGTTGCTGACTTTCTGCCAATCAAGGGTTGGATATTGCTAGCCAGGCAGTGTGTCTCCCACTGCAATGGCTCCTTCTGAGAGTATTCCTCATTTTGAAAAGTGGTCCATTCCTTCCATAAATCCCTGCACTCACCAGCTCCAGCTTCATATCATCACAGTTGATCCCCACGCCGAGAGAACAATAGATGTATTTATTCTCATATCTCTCATAAAATGAAGTTATCCATCCTCATATTTTACAATAAGGGACTGATGGAACCAGAAAAAAATTTTCCAAATCAGAATCTGTGACAGGACCTGTCAAGATCATCCGTCACCTGATTATGGGCATCATCCGGCCATCATGGCTCCAAACTTTTCAGAGATGCTTTGTCATTGCTGTCGTTGCTTGAGGACAGCAAACACAGTAATATTAAAGAATGCATACAGATTTATGGCCACACTTTATTTTGACAATCCGGCATAGTTTATCTACTAAGAAGAAACTCTGTCTTTTATTAACAGATTTAGGACGCTTAGAAGAGTTTTAGAGGTTTAGTTTTTGGGTTGTGGTTTGGTTTAGAGCAAAATTAGGGTCAGTTAATATCAAGATGAGTATCTACAGTGACCATCAAAATAAAGTGTTACCAAATTTACAACTAACATATTGGCAGGCCAATTTCCTTTTGTTTGGAGAAAGTTGAGAGGACCCTTAAATTCTCATCTATCGGCTGAACTGGATGTAATTGAAAGGGGCTCCTGAGTAAAGAGAATGCGTGAGTCACTCGCCATCTGCCCCTTCCTGACTGACACACCCCTGCCAGGAGGTGTCTTCATGCCCTGGCTACATTCATCAGCCCTCCTCCGGCGTAGACGAATTGTTCTGGACAATTATTTCAGATGACTAAACCTGGCCCAGTCCACCTTTTCCCTTCCATAACCCTCTTTACTAAATGACTATCGCCCACACTCGTGCTTATAGCAATAGGTCAATGAAATGTTCCTTCATCTTCATCAAGTGCAGTTGATCAGATAAGACTTAGCTCTGCACTGGAGCTACATGGCTAATAAAACTAATAAGTATATCGAGGCTGCATGCTTAGAGCATCTCAAACCGTGTAGTTATTAAGTAATTGCTAATAGACTTACTTATGTGGTTGCTGACACTATATGACATACTGTTATCTATACAATGAACAGAAATACAAAAAGTTCAGGCTTCAAATCTGCTAGGATTGTTTTAGCTATGTAGCGCAGTTTTGGCCACTTTTATAGCAAACCTAAAGAACCAAACTTTAGCCACCAAACATGTCTTGGCTAACTGACTACAGCTGGGGTAAGGGGCAATTTATCTAAACTACTACTTAGGGGTTTATGGGGAAATTAGGTTAAATTAGATTAGATTAGACTATGCCAGTTTGGTCAAAAAGGTGATGGTAAGACCACCACCGGCTTCAGAAATCCCCCCTGCATGCCTGAATTGCTCTGTTTGTTCAGATGACTAAATCTGGCCGAGTCCACCTTTTTTCCTTCCCTAACGTCCTTTATTAAATGCCGATAGCCCAGAGTCTGACTCACGATCTATGACTTAAGGGTGGAGGGTGGCGAGAATGGCGTGGGGTCAGGGCCAATTAAGAACCCTGTAAATCTCTCCCCTTTCTCCCTTCCTTTCCCTCCACCCCTCCGGCTCCTGTAACCTTTTCTCTGAAATGACAGGGCCTAAGTGGGCTTGACGGAATCAACAGAGCCATCAATCACTGGACAAGTGTTTCCGACCAGCCTGGAGGGGCATATGAAAGAAGACGTCATATAGAACAGCAATTTCCCAGAATTGGGAAATTGGATTTCTAAATTTGTCACAGTCATAAGATTAGTACATCCACATCTAAACTATCACGACCTTCTTTCCCCTCGCCTCTCTGTTGGTCAGCTATAATGAAAGTTATTAGTTCCAGTAAGCCTACCTGTGTAGATTTCTGCCTCTGACGGGTCCTCAATACGCTTGTGCTGAATGATGTAATCTGCCACCTTGTAGCCAATCAGAGGCTCCACATCCACCCACTCCAAACCCACCACTGTGCTAGATGGCTCAAAGTGAGGAGCCAACCTCATCCTGCAAAGAGAAAAGCCCAGAGCCCTCATACATGCAACATATGCATCAAAAAGGGCAAGAAGAAAGCAGGAGGTAATGCTTAACAGTTACTAACAGCAGAGCTACGATCAGTATCTTTTTATGAAGACTGCAATCAGGACAAGAAATATGCATTGCTACGCTGCCCATCAACAATTTGGAGACATCTTGCCTTTTAAAATTTTCAGATTAATGTTTGATTTTCACTGTTGCTCCTGAATAGCCAACTGAAGCTAATCCTTTCTGCAACTCTCAGCTGCATGTTCATCATAGGCCTCATTTTCAGTGTAGAGCCAAATGGTTCCCATTATCTTAGCTAACACTACCAGGCTACAGATCAAAACACCACAGAACAGGTTTCTGTCAATCCAGCACCAGTCACTTCACTTTGCTCTCTCAGAGATGAGTTTTTGTTATCTGCACTTGTTTCAGCTGTTCTGAATCAAACCTGTACTGTGGTGTGTACCATGTTTGGATCTACAACATGGTAGCTATGCTAATGTTAGGTTAGCTAACAAGATACAGATCCAGATACCATGGAACAGGTTTCATTTTTGGTTTCTGGCTCTCCGACACCAGTCATTCGACTTTGCTTCCCCAGATTTGCGTCACTACCATTTAAACCAGTGTCAGTGTAGCTTCAGTTCGCATGACTCAAACTTGTTCTTTGGTGAGAAATCTAGTTAGTGCTAAACAGCTCCTCTCTCCTAGTTAGCAGCACAATTTAATATTTAGTAACTGCTGTTAAAACGATGGTTTGACATTAAACGATGAGTTAAAAAACTCGCATACTGCATTCATTTATTTGTCAGTAGGCAAGTTTAACTTAATTTGATTTTTTTATAATGTGGCTTGAAGTAGCACAAAAGCAACTTAAACGAAGAAACAATTAACAAGTAGCTACATCTTTAATTCATGAATCCGAACATTTTTTGTAGCCTTGAGCATGGGTAGCTAATAGTGCCAAGACAAACATGTTGAACGTTTAGAAAGTACCTCGAGCCGAATCATGTTCATTTGGTAATATCCTTGGAATGGCTACTCAACGTGCTCAGAACTGCTTGACCCTACAGTGGAAAAGAGGCCATATTGTCTTCTTTGGTATGAAGAGCAGGTGTTGCCTAAATAATAATTTGACAATTTTCCAAGCTATTGTTAAAAGCACAAACTGAAAATCTTTTGGCCCAAATGTGGTTTTAACATCTAAAAGGTTTGAGTGTTGACATCACAACAAAATGACAAAATATGTGGAATTTGGATTTTTTCTCAAGGTACCATTGTCACTAATATTGTCACCAATATTTATCAGTGTGATATTTTTTTTATCTGAATAAATGGTTATTTTTTAATATGTTACTTATTGGAAACTGACAAAAAAAATGCACATTTGTAGTAAAAACATTTTGACAAGCAACGCGTTCCAAATTGTTGATGTTTGATGGCCAGTGTATGTGCTATTAACTACAATGACATGAACAGAATAATGACAAATTCAACCATATGACAGTTCAAATGACAGTTATGTATCTTGGTAACTCTAAAAATAACTGAGTTACCAATCATTGCTGAGCATATTACTGAGCTGTCATATGGTTGAATTTGTCATTATTCTGTTCGTCACAGTTATTGCAAGTTAATGCATTCTGCTACATAAGCAACCAAGTAGCTACACAATTATGCAATTACATTTAAATAGCATACCAAAATGGCCATACTGCTAGGGGTTAATATCTGATAGAGAACAAAAACATTTTGTCCATCTTTGTTCTGAAGGTCACTCATCTCCAATTTTTATGACTCACAGTTACGTGGAGCTTCGGAGCGGAACGTTTCCGGACTTTCCTCAGGAAGGAACGAAACTGACAGACAGCAATTAAAAGTGTGGCTGTGGGACCCTGGGGGTGGGGGTGGGGGGGTGGTTGGAGGGTGGGGTGGTGACTTACACAGGCTGCCTCAGGGGGCTGCAGTTGGGCAGGCCGTCTTTGCCGAAAGCACTCAGGTCGCAGCGGCACCAGTTGTCGATGACATCGCCTTTGCCAGCGCACCAATATGAGCTCATGGCGGCGCTCTTGAAGGCCTGCAAAAAAAGGGGAAACGGAGCAGGTGAAAGAAATGTAATTATCTACAGCTCTTTGGCGGGAACGCGGTGAGTCATGCCTCCAGAGCGGCAGACTCTCTCTCTCACCTTCGCTCGAAAAGTGGTGTGGCTCTGCGAAGCTGGCCCGAGCGAGAGCATCTCTGGGCGCTTCGCACAGACACGGCCCTGTCTGCTTTTAATTGGAAACTGTGACAAGAAAGGTCAGACTGTGTGACTGTCAAGGCTATGACAGGATAAGCTTGGGAGAAGGAAAGAGAAGGAACATACACGATAGCGGGCAGGCAAAGCCACAAGAAAGATTGCTTTTAGGTGAACTGATTAATGCTTTTAGACAACAAATCCAGCATTAAACCAGTGGTTTCCAACTTTGGTCCTGGGGTACTCTTGTCCTCTTGGCAATTTTCTGCTTGATCCAACAAATCAGCTAATTGACAAGCTGTTCCTGAGTTTAACGGGGTGTATTACAGCAGGAAAACTGCAAAAATGTATAGGACAGGGGGGACAAAGACTGCGAACCACCATATAATAATTACAGCTAGATGTTTCTGATTCATGTTTTTAACCAAGAATTCAAAAATCATGAACCTTAAACCTAGACCTAGGCAAGGTCCCATCTGCCCCTTCTCGACTGTTATATCCCTACCAAGAGGTGTCTTCATGCGCTGGCTGCATTCATCAGCCCTCCTCTGGCGTAGATGAATTGTTCTGGATGATTTGTTCAGATGACTAAACCTGGCCCAGTCCACCTTTTCTCTTTGCGAACCTCCTTTATTAAATGCCTGTCACCCAGACTCTGACTCACAAGCCGTGAATTAAAGTAGTAGTGGTTATCAACCCTGGTCCTTGACAGGTTTACGCATTTTTTTTGTGTTCTACCACACCTGATTCAACTCATTAATTAATTAACAAGCTTCTCATGCTTCTACTTGGTCAGGTGTGTTTACATGTGCAGAACACAGGATCAACAGGGGACCTGTGCTTTACTGTTTTGTCCTGTTCTAGCAGAGCCATTTCAACTCAGGAATGACTTTTTCAGCTCTATGTGGTCCACACTTCAATTCTTCTCTCAGAACTATGCAACTTGCATATAAGCTTCACAGCAATTGTTGAATAATTTAGTCGAGGACTAACAAGATTAATACGTGAGTAATACACCTATGATTCAAAGGGTTTATTAGCTGATTAGGTGAATCAGGTACACAGTGCTCCAGGAGCAGGAATGGAAACCGCCAACAAAATCCCTTAAACCCCAGGCTTTTTATTCAGTAACTACTATTCACTCCCTATATGAAATAATGTACACATTATATGGTGAGGAAAGTGAAGGAGTGTGAAGTGCGGACCCGCACGCAGGCCTTGAGATTTAATTTGCATTGTAGACAAACTTACAAACTCGGAATTCTTTACAACAGCGGTACCAGCGATGTCTACACACATTTTATTTGCTAACCAAAACCACCAGTGAACCTACATGAGTGTCCTTAGTTTTCACACATAATGTCAGTGATGGTAAAATAGTGGTTAATCTGAAAAATAAGTTTTCTCTGGGGATGACTAAAGCCATGCATGTACAACTGTATGCAAAGGTTTGGGCACCCCTGGTTAAATGACACATTTTGTTGATGAAAGTAAGTGAACACATCCTCTACAGAGAACACACTTCTGCACACTTTAATGTAGAATTACTGTTTATTTGCTGAATTTAACATGTTGGAAATAAAATCATGAAACAAAATGTGCAAAAGTTTGCTTTCTAATATGTTAAACTCATTACATAACTAGAAATTGTGTATTATAGTTTGCAGAAATGCCACATTTGAGTTTTAAGTGTTAAATTTTTTTATCAGAAAATCAACAAAACATGTTACGTGACCATGATCAAACTTCTGCATATCAATGTACACCCTATCATGAATTCATAAAAAAAATGCATTTCAGGCTGAAAACTTGTCTCAAAACTATGAAAAAACAATGTATCAGGCAGCGTAATTGTAACCATTTCATGTAATAACTTTCTTTCTACTCCTCTCTTGTTCTAACTTGGATAGTTTCTATAAAACACAACATTTCACATTTGCTCTTCATCTTAAACACTGAATTATGCAGAAATTTTGAAAAAAAATCAGTACTATTCCCCTTTAAGGGGTTCAGCGCTTCTTGACACTAAAACCTCTCTCAATCTGTCAGCTTCAGTCTGGTCAAAATGGAGATGGTAAAACTGACAATGGTTACAGGAAGACCCCCCTTTCATTGATAGCATCACTGGGGTTCCCTTAGCCATGCCACAACTCTTGTTTACATCCAGGCAAATGCGTGTGTGAATGGCCTTGCTGAATGAGCGGTTATTAGAGGGGAGAAGGCCGGGGTTCTGCCATCCATCCATCGCAGTATAACGACTTGCATGAGAGACGTCTGGCAGAAGGCTAGAGTGAAGGAGCAGGAGGGAGAGAAAGAGAGTGAAAGAGAAGAGAGACGGGGTATAACTTGGAGGTAAATAGAGCAAGAAGGTGAAAGAATGCGATACAGAGAAAGTGAGTGAGTGAATAATGAAGTGTGACAATAAAAAAAAAATAAAAAACAAACAAAAACAAAACCAGAATGGCTTAATTGAGACCACGCCATGTGGCGCAACACAAACGAAACCATAATAGAACAAAAAAGGGCCTCCATGCCTCTGTGAATGAGAAACAGACAATCAGAAAACACAACAGGAAGTGCCGGAGCAGCGTGTGCATGCCCATTCATAGACAAACAGAGGAGGAGGAAAAGTGACTCCGTAATGGTCATAACCGCAGTCTTGCCTTTGCATTTACCACCATCAGTTTCTTAGAAAAAAACCCACTCCAAGACATGCTTGACTGCTCAACTGCACATGTGAAAAATAGACAAACTGATTATTGCCCTGTTTACGTTTGGCAAGTAATGCAAGCCAGTTTGGACTAAGTAAACAGGCAGCGTAATTGCATGTGTGTGCGTGCATGTGTGCGTGCGTGTTTGTGAGGAGGTTCTGCTGCGAGGGAAAAGAGGGAATATACTCCTCCTTGGAAGGAAATATGTTGATCTTTCACTAGCCTTTTTAGGGTGACACAAAAAAACAAGACTTTGTCTGCCTTTAGTTTGTTCTCCCCTGTTAATAACATGATTTCTCAATGCTGTTGTGTTTTTTCGTAAGTACCACTTTTTTTAGACCAAGTATATGTTTTTAGTGCTTGCCCAAGGTGTGAAATACAGGTGGTCCTGGTGGGTCCAGGACCTTCTAATTAACCTTTCGGTCAAAATCCAAATTCTAGGGGGGCTCCCAGAATATAAACTTTTTATGACGTTATGCTGTCCGTCAGGGAAAAACAGACTCTCAAATAAAAATTCAGGGAAAGGTCATTGTTTAGCTGATTCACCCACAAATAGCGAGCCCCTGTTTTTGGTATTCTTACATAACTAGAGCTGCAGCACCAGTCTGGCTCAGGGTGGCGCTGTAGCAAATTGAAAAGCTGAAAAACTTTATAACATGCCACAACATTGTAAAAATCATAAAAAGAAAACTTGCTCTCTTTCTCAAAAGATTGGTGGAAAGAGTGAGTCATTACTCATTTCTCAAAACAAAGACAAAAGAGATGTGTAAGATCTAAGTTTATCTGGAAAAGTGCATTACCAAACTAGAAAACAGCATTTCCAAAAGAATTCTTAAACCAATTGCTAAACCGAGAGTAAGTTAACAGCCAGCCAATGCTGGAGCAGCCAGCCACCATGGGACACCCCGAACACCTGGGGGTATGTGGCACACCGTACTTGCCACTACAGATTACGATACGATAAAAAGTAACCTACTCAGAATTAAGTAGTTGTTAGTGTAAATGAGTGCAATGTATCTTAACAGTTAAATCTATACAATCTAGCTGAGTTTAAAAGACGTGCATTAGCTATGTTACATTAGTTATCTTGGACTGAATAGTGTTGCAGTGGAGACGAGTGGGTTTTGGTCCACATAAGGAAAACATTTCTGTACAGCTGAAGGTAAAGTACATTTCATAGCTTTGTTAATAAATCTGTTTCATTCAAAATAACATGCTGTGCGTCTGAGTACTGAGCAAATATTCTGAGAAACTGAGCAGCTTTGCTAGCTCTGTGCACTGAAACTAAAACCAGGTGGTGATGTACATGGTTAGAACAACACAGTCTCTCTACAGCCTATTTTACAAACATAGTTTAAAAAAATCAATTGTGCTGGAGCTTTCATTCTGTGAGGCGACAGCGCTACCCACTGTGCCACCATACCGCCCCTGCAAGTACCAGTGTGCCAGTTCACCCTGTTTTAGACAGAACCTTAACACTCATTAAACATATAATAATATACTAATATACTCCTTAACTCTTATAGACACCCGAATCTCAAAATCCTGATAATATTCAGAATGCACAGCCCTAGAATGAAAAGACATGTAGGCAAACTATTAGTAAATGTATGTGACTATCAGCTAGACAGTATGCATTTGCTAAGATGTTTCAAGGGTGCCTTAAGATGCCTTAACATGGCAATTTTGTTACATTTTTGAAATAAAAGATTTTGCATTAGTATATAAGCAATATATATATATATATATATATATATATGTGTGTGTGTGTGTGTGTGTGTATAAAAACACATACATATATCTCCGCCTTTTCAGTGTACAGCAGTTTTGCCCTACTCATTCACAGTGAAGTAAGGAGTGTTTCGTTAAAACAGAGGGCATTTACATATAGTCTTTCACATCGGGCACAGTCAAAAAAGCCTTTTTGATTCTAAGGGAGAAAAAGGTTGAAAATAATCATGTAAAAATGAGTTGAATAAAAAATGAATGAAAAAAAATGAATGAATGAATGAATGAATGAATAAAAAGGTTTTTCAACATAAACCCACACGAATGCCATGAATAACCATCAGAGAAAACTATACAAAACACAAGCACAATATGAGCCCGTTAAGAGCTCTAGGCTATGTT